TTGGTGGATTAGTGAGTGTGGGAGGCTGTGATTGGTGGATCAGTGAGAGAGGGAGACTGTGATTGGTGGATCAGTGAGAGAGGGAGACTGTGATTGGTGGATCAGCGAGAGAGGGTGGCTGTGATTGGTGGATCAGTGAGAGTGGGAGACTGTGATTGGTGGATCGATGAGAGAGGGTGGCTGTGATTGGTGGATCAGTGAGCTGGGCTGGGGTTGGTGGACAGTCCCTCGGTGTCGCCTGAGAGACTGAGAGCCCGAGACCCCACTCTCCCAGCCCCTACTGTACTAGCGGTGGGGGTGTGGGGAGCTGCTCGGATAGGTGGGCGCTGGTTTGCTGGAGGGACCCAGCCTCGGGTGGATTCGCTGTCAGTGGAACCCTGTCAGGGGTTGACTCAGAGCCAAGTACTGAGGCTCACAGAGAGTGCAGAACCAGGCCCAGGTCCTGGTGAGTTTGGGGCTGAAGGATGGTACCCGTTCAGAACCAGCCAATGACCCGGCTCTCCTTCTGCATCCAGAATGCAGACTGACAACTGGTTCAAAGAGGAACCCCAGTCAGTACCACCCCCTGGTGGCTAGGAATGGGCCGAATGGCCTCATCCTGTGCTGTGCTGTCTCATCATTCCATTTCCCTGAACAATGGATCCCTTCAAACTCCCAAAACTGGGAGCGGGTTGAAAGTTGACCCTGAAGCTCAGTGGCCGAGGTGGGAAGAGCAGGGAAGAATGGAGTGCCTCTATGTACACAATCTCTGTTGGCCTTTTCCATTCACACAGCGATTCTGTGGGCCCACACACTCCACACGCTGTTGATTGGCCAGGCAGGACTCCGTGGATGAGTTGTAGCATCCGAAACATTGCAATCCGTTCGTCATGGTGTTGGCAGGCTCTGAAATCGCAAACAGGAGAAGAGAAGAAGCCTTCTTTTTGTTTTTAGAACAAAGCGGACCTCCCCTCAAATTTCCACCATTCCCCCCCACCGCCTCGCCAATCCCACACAACTCCCCAAACATGACGTTCAATACCTCTCCACCTTCCCCAGGATTTTGTGTTTCTCTGAACCATAACGGACCTCACTGTGATCCTCACCTGGTTCCGTCTGGTCATTGCATCGGTCTGAGCCACAGAGATGGATGCTCTGGGAGATAAACACCCTTCCAGTTCTCAACGAAAAGTCTTCAGAGGGAATCTCACAGCGTTGGTCAATGCGACGAATCTTATTTTCATTTTCATCTGTAAACAGGCTGGAGTTAGAAATTCATCATGTTCCACCCCCCAACCCTCACAACAACCTTTTTTCAGAGATACACCACAGAAAGCATCCTCTCTGGATAATACATCACAGCGATGTTTATAGGCAACTGCTCTGCCCAAGACCACAAGAAATTACAGAGAGTCGTGAACACAGCCCAGTCCATTCTGAAAACCAGCCTCCCTACCGTTAGCTCCACCTACACATGCCGCTGCCTCGGGAAAGCAAACAACATCATCAAAGACCCCTCCCACCCCAGTTATACTCTCTCCCACCCTCTTCCATCAGGCTGAAGGTGCAAACATTTGAAAACAGGTACCAACAGATTCAAGAACAGCTTCTTCCCTCATGTTATCAACCTTCCTCTTGTATATCAGAGCTGATATTTCTCTGCACCCGCTCTGTAGCTGTAACACTGTCTTCTGCATTCTGTTCGATTACCCTGATGCACTTATCTAAGGTGTGGTTTGTCTGGTTAGCACGCAAAACAATATTTTACTCTGTATCTCGGTGCTTACGAAAATAATAAATCAAATCTAATATCAATGTTGAAATATTTATTGAAGCTATTAATTCTGGAGAATATCACCTTCCAGAGACAGCGATGGAGATGACTGGCACTGAGTTGAACCTGGGGGTCATCATGCCTTGGGTGAGGGTATGGGGGGGGGTTGTGCACAGAGTTGAGACGGTGCCAACCATATAGAGTGAAGGCATTGAACCCTCATTGGTGGGTATTGCTGTGTATTATCAAACCAGCTGACTGAGCTAACCTGGGTGGGTGGGGGGATGGGGGGAAGGGAGGTTGGCATCACCTAAGCCCTGGCGAGAGGTACAGTGATCCTCAGGTCAAGCCCATCACAAACCTTACCTCTCTAATGAAGGGAGAGGCAGGATGGGATGATGGTGACTGGCACTATCCCTTCGCCATCAGGTCCCAGGGGTGGGGGATCGAACCCACTGTCCCCTGGCTCAGTGAGGGGGGAGAGTGGGATTAGACTGGGTGGGATATTAAAGGGAGCGGGGAGTGAGGGGGGAGATTGGGATTAGACTGGGTGGGACATTAAAGGGTGCAGGGAGAATGGGATTAGGCTGGGTGGGAAATTAAATTTGTGGGTAATTGTCGGGCCAGGGATTAGACTGAGTGGGAAGTTAGGAAACTGGGATCGGAAAGCGACAGTTATTATCATGTTCCACTGAGTGGGACAAATTTCTGTTTCAGTTCAACTTAATTGTAGGAAGGGAGCCTGCAGATTTCACCTGCTCTGGGCTGTACATAACTAACACTCAGGAAAGAAGACAGCTTCTTGAAGGGACCCAGAGAGTGGGACATCAATGATAGCGTCTGAAACCCACAACACCACAAGTGATAGAAACAGATCATTCCTTACCTCCTGTGATACAAGTACAGACGAGTACAACAGTGAAGAACAGCTTCATGTTTTACCCTGCTGAGATGGAGCTTCTGGATTGATGGTGAACTGCTGTCTGTGTTCACAAACCACCCTCTTTCTATTTCTAAATCAGGAAACGACACCAGAGACATCAATAGCAACTCTCCCACCCATTTAAATCCCACCCAGTCTAACCACACTCTTCCCCCCTTATTCCCCTCACCCTTTAATATCCCAACCAGTCTAATCCCACACTACCCTCACTTCCATTTGTACAATGTGTCCTCCAGGCTGATCCCATCCTCCTACTGCCTGCCTGTGAGCTTTATTATTACCTTGAAGCGATTACAATCCTACACACTATTCCTGTATCCTCTTCCATCGGAAACAAACACAGAAAGTGCTTTAGAAGTCTCTGTGGAGAGAGGAACAGGCTGTACGATGAGACCACTGATCGGTCATTAGAACTGACTGCAGCTGGGAAAGGGTGAGATTTCTGTTGATGGACGGGAGGGGCTGGAATTGGTGGGAGGTAGTGGGAAAGGTTAGAAGGGAGGATAGAGAGATGAAGGGTCTAGGCCCGAAACGTCAGCCTTCCTGCTTCTATGATGCTGCTTGGCCTGCTGTGTTCATCCAGCTCTACACCTTGTTATCTCAGGCAAACAAGGAGATGGCTGATGGTAAACCGAGAGGGGGAGAAATGATAGGTGGGGTGCAGATGGGAAGTGTCAATGTTTGCCAATGGGTTGGTGCAGGCAGCAGAACCTTACAAGAGATGACCCGTGCGAGTTGGGATACAATAAACAGAGACAGGAGTTCATGCTCTGAAAGTGTTAAATTCAATATTGAGACCCCAGGACAGTAAGGTCTGGAGGTGGAAGATGGGGTGTGTTCATTCAGCTTGCGTTGAGCTTTGCTGGAGCACCACAGCACATGGGAGACCAAGACGATGAGGCACGTAGTCCAAATGCCTAGGAAAGGCGTAGCAGCGTCACAGGGAGTCCGTGAGCCTCATGCCCTTTATGTTGTTGTCGGGCAGGAATGTTCACACAATATTTGAGACACGTGTCACACACATCTGTCCCTGACCCGACAAAACACAGAGTGGCGGTGTAGCCTGTATCATGTGGCTGCAGTGGGAGACTGGGTGGGATAATAAAGGGTGTGGGGAGTGAGGGGGGAGATTGGGATTAGACTGGGTGGGATATTAAAGGTGTGGGGAGTGAGGGGGAGAGTGGGATTAGACTGGGTGGGATATTAAAGGGTGTGGAGAGTGAGGGGGCAGATTGGGATTAGACTGGCTGGGATATTAAAGGGTGTTGGGAGTGAGGGGGAGAGTGGGATTAGAC